ATCCTTCTAGTTGCTGTATGCGGGACTCGGCCTCAGGATGAACGGAGAAGTGGTGCCTCGATGCGCACCCGGGATCCGAACCTGGGCCACCAGCATCGCAGCGCGCGCACTTAACCACCAAGCCACAGGGCCGGCCCTCCCCACTCTTTTAATACACTGCCCCCAAAATTCATTCACAAAATCTCTGAAACAGCCATTTCTCACATAACCATCAATCTTTTGCAGTCACAAACTCTTGTTCCCCTTCTGAAACTTTTCAAGTCATGTTTCTAGAAACCTGGAAGAATGTCAGTCCCTGAAGATAGTTAATAGTAGTCAACAATGAAGAAGCTGTTAGAATATGCCGCTGTTAAGAATCACCCTAACACTCCTGGGTAGGGTGCAAATTATAATCAGATAGTTAAAGGAAGAGAAACTGATTCTCTTCTCTTTACAAATGTTATCGGAGAGAAAGAAATGGGAAGAGGTTGACTTAGCCTATCCTGTGGATTAAAAGCTGCACTCAATTAGAAAATATGATCAGAAAGGAGATTTCTAAGTATTTATATTTATAATGTAAATATGATCCAAAACTATAGAAACATCAAGGTATCATACTTAGAAAGTAGTAATATAATTGACTCAAGGAAAAAAAATTAGTGGTAAATTTGCCAAACCATGAATAACATAGTTATGTGTATGTGTCTGTTTTTAACATAAGAAGTAGCAATTATACTAATACTAAATGGCTAGGAAAAAGAGAATAAATTCTATTTAAAGATAGCATTGAAAATTGCAATTTCATTTTGATTATAAATAAGCTATTTATAGAAGAAATGAGTCCTCAGTCTAGTGCTTTTAAATTTATAACACAACTTTACCTTGAAGATAGTATCCCATTATAAAATTTGTACTATTAAATGGAATTCCACATGCTACATGAAATAATTCTTCAAATTCTTTGATTTTTTTTCTTAACAGTTCTTTTCTAAACATTAAAACACAATACAACAACATTGACAAAAGAATGTGATTTTTTTCAAAATGGAACTGTATTTTTTTCTTATACATGCTTGTTGTAAAATATTCCAACAGGGGGAATGAAAGCTACCATATAATTCCACAATTCATAAATAGAACTATATTACACATATTCTTCTGTAACCTATTTTTAATATATATTTTGGATACTTTCCCATGTTAATACATACAGATCTCACATCTCCTTTTTTAACTGCCACTAAATAGTAATAAGAATGATAATATGGTAGTAGTAGTAACAGTAGTGGTAATAGTAATAGTAATATTTGTTAAACACTCACATTGCCAGATATTGTTCTACATAATTCTCATCTATTAACTACTTAATTCTTGTAACAAATCAATAAGGTAGATTCTGTCATTAACCTCATGTTACAGATGATTAAACTGAGGCAAGGAGCAGGTAAGTACCTTGCTCACAGTCACAGGTGTAGTAGACAATGGAGCCTGGCTTAGAACCCAGTTGGTATGATTCCAGAGCCTATACTTTTAAGCAACTGCATGGATATACCATGATTCATTATACCAATTCCCCCATAACAGACATTTAGGATTTTCCAATTACAAAACCAATTAACATGTGAGGGAGATTATTAGTAAATGCTTATTTTACTCTGCTAAAAAGTTATATACATATTAAAATTGTTTTTATATTAAAGTTAGAAAGGCATGTGTACCATAAGTTAAAGCATTCCATATCATGTACATTAAGATGATTCCTTTTTAAAAAAACTTTTATTGTCGTAAAATATACATAACATAAAATTTACCATTTTAACCATTTTTAAGTGTACAGTTCAGTGAAATTAAGTACATTTACACTGTTCGGCAATCATCACCATCCATCTCTAGTACTTTTTTATCTTCTCAAACTGAAACTGTAAACCAATTAAACAATAACTTCCCATTCCCCCTCCCCCAGCCCCTGGCAACCACCATTCTACTTTCTGTCTCTATGAATTTGACTACTCTAGGTATCTCATATAAGTGGACTCATACAGTAATTGTCCTATTGTGACTGCTTATTTCACTTAGCATGATGTCTTCAAACTTCATCCATGTTCTAGCATGTGTCAGAATTTCTTTCCTTTTTAAGGCTGAATTATATTCTATTATATGTATACACCACATTTTGTTTCTCTGTTCATCCATTGACAGACACTTGGGTTGTTTCCACCTTTTGGCTATTGTGAATAATGCTGCTATGGATGGAGGTACAAATATCTGTTTGAGCCCCAGCTTTCAATTCTTCTGGGTGTATACCCAGAAGTGGAATTGCTGGATCATTTGGTAATTTTATGTTTAATTTTTGTGTGTGTGTGAGGAAGACTGCCCCCGAGGTAAGATCTGTGCCAATCTTCCTCTAGTTTATAGATGGGATGCCACCACAGCACAGCTTGACGAGTGGTTTGTAGGTCCATACCTAGGGTCCAAACCCATGAACCCTGGGCTGTGGAAGCAGAGCGCATGAACTTAACCACTACTTCACTTGGCTGGCCCCCTATGTTTAATTTTTTTGAGAAACTACCATATTTTTTTCAATAGTAACTGTACCATTTTACATTCTCACCAACAGTGCCTAAGGGTTCAAATTTCTCCACATTCTTGCCAACACTTGCTATTTTCTGTTTGTTTGTTTGACAATAGCCATCCTAATGGGTGTGAAGTGATATTTCATTGTGGTTTTGATTTGCATTTCCCTAATGATTAGTGATGTTGAACATTTTGTCATGTGCTTATTGGCCATTTGTATATCTTCTTTGGAGAAATATCTATTTAAGTTCTTATCTCATTTTTGAATTGGGTTGTTTGCTTTTTTGTTGTGTTCTAAGTGTTCTTTATATATTTTGGCTATTAATCCCTTATCAGATGTATGATTTTGCAAATATTGTCTCCCATTCCATGGATTGCCTTTTCACTCTGTTGACTCTATCCTTGGATGCATTACAGTTGTGAATTTTGAGGTAGTCCAGTTTACTTCTGAATTACTGAAGTTGGTTTGCTAGTATTTTGTTGAGGAATTTTATATCAATATTTATAAGGGATATTGGTCTGTAGTTTTCTTACACTGTCTTTGTTGGGTTTTGGTATCAGGGTAATCGTGGCCTCACAGAATGAGTTTGGAAGTGTTCTTCCCTCTTCAATTTTTTAAAAGAGTTTGAGGATTGGTGTTAATTCTTCTTTAAATGTTTGGCAGAATTCACCAGGGAAAACATCTGGTGCTGGATTTTTCTTTATTGGCAGGTTTTTGGTTACTGATTCACTCTTTACTTATTATACATTTGTTGAGATTTTCTATTTCTTCTTGAGTAACTTTAGGTAATTTGTATGTTTTAAGGAACTTGTCCATTTTTTCTTGGTTATCTCACTTGTTGGCATGTAATTGTCCATAATGCTCTCTTGTAATCCTTTTTATTTCTGTAAAATTGTTAGGAATGTCCCCTTCTTCCTTTCTGATTTTAGTTGAGTCGTCTTATATTCTTAGTCCGTCTAGATAAAGGTTTGTCAATTTTGTTGATCTTTTCAAAGAACCAACTCTTGGGTTCACTGATTTTTCTCTATTGTTTTTCTATTCTCTATATTATATTCTATACTTTATCTCTGCTCTAATTTTTATTATTTCCTTCCTTCTGACAGCTTTTGGTTTAATTTGTTCTTCTTTTTCTAGTTTTTTTTTTGTGTGTGTGAGGAAGATTAGCCCTGAGCTAACATCCATTGCCAATCCTTCTCTTTTTGCTGAGAAAGACTGGCCCTGGCCTAACATCCGTGCCCATCTTCCTCTACTTTATATGACAAGCGGTGCATTGGTCTGTGCCTGGGAGCGGAACCTGTGAACCCCGGGCCACAGAAGTAGAGCACGCAAACTTAACTGCTACGCCACCGGGCTGGCCCCTTTTTGTAGTTTTTAAGATGTAAAGTTAGGTTGTTGAATTGAAATCTTTCTTCTTTTTAAATATAAGTGTTTACTTGGGGGCCGGCCCAGTGGCGCAAGCAGTTAAGTGCGCGCGCTCCACTGAGGCAGCCCAGGGTTCACTGGTTTGGATCCCGGGCGCACACCAACGCACTGCTCGGCAAGCCATGCTGTGGCAGCGTGCCATATAAAGTGGAGGAAGATGGGCATGAATGTTAGCCCAGGGCCAGTCTTCCTCCACAAAGAAAGAAGAGTATTGGCAGAGGTTAGCAACAGGGCTGATCTTCCTCACAATAAATAAATAAATAAATAAATAAATAAAGTGTTTACAGTTATAAATTTTCCTCTTAGCACTGCTTTTGCTGCATCCCATAAGTTTTGTATGTTGTGTTTCCATTTTCATTTGTCTCAAGATATTTTCTATTTCTCTTGTGATTTCTTCTTTGACTCATGGGTTTTTAGGAGTATTATTTAATTTCCACATATTTGTGGATTTTTCAGTTTTCCTTCTGCTGTTGATTTCTAGTTTTATTTCATTCTGATCAGAAAAGATACTTTGAATAATTTTAGTCTTTTAAAATTTATTAAGACTTGTTTTGTGGCAAGATGATTCCTTTTCTAAGACAGTAAGAAAGGCTATTTTTTGCTCAATAAGGTTTTTAAACTTCAATATAAAATTCTGTTTTTGAGAAAACACAATTAGAAAATGAGCAAAGAAAAAAAGACAAGAAACATGTTTTGTTTGCTATACAGAGACAAATAAACACATGAAAATATGTTCAACATCATCAGCCATAAGGCAATGCAAATTAAACCCATAATGAGCTATCACTGCACACCTATACAACTGTTTAAAATAAAAAATAGTAACAATGCCAAATGTTACTTAGGATGCAGAGAAAATGAATCATTCATACATTGCTAATGGGAATGTAAAACAGTACAGCCACTCTGAAAAACAATTTGGCAGTTTTTTATAAAACTAAGCATACATTACCATATGACCCAGCAATTGTACTCTTGAGCATTTATCCCAGAAAAATAAAAACATATGTTCACACAAAAACCTGTAAATAAATGTTCATACCAGCTTTATTTGTAATAGGCAAAATCTGGAATTAATCCAAATGTCCTTCAATGGGTGAGTTATAAAAAAGTATGGTATATCCCATACCGTGGAATACTATTCAGCAATAAAAAGCACAGACTATTGATATATCCAACAACTTGGCTGAACTGCAAGGGAATTACACTGAACAAGAAAAGCCAATATGAAAAAGTTATATACCATATGATTCTACTCATATAACATTCTCAAAATGACAAATTATAGAAATGGAGAATAGATTAGTGGTTGCCACAGGTTAGAGACAAGAAGGAGGAATAGCATGAGGTAGCCTTGTGGTGATGGAAGAGTTGTGTATCTTGACTGTAAAGACAGTTACATGAATCTACACGTGGTAAGTCTAATAAAACTACACACTTACACATGCAAATAAGTGCATGTAAAACTGGTGAGATCTGAATAAGCTCTGTGGCTTGTACCTATGTCAGTTTACTGGTTTTTGAAGATGTTACCATTGGGGGAAACTGGGTAAAGGGGACTTCCTTGTGTTTTTTTGGAACTTCTTGAGTATCTATAATTATTTCAAAGTAAAAAGTTTAAAAAGAAACAGCTAACTGAAGTTATAACTAAGGTAATATAATATATATCTTTTAACATTTATGTTTTATTAAAGATCATTATCAGAAATCCTGGTTTACAGAGTTGTGATTTTCCAGAAAAGATAAGAAATACTGTATTTAATAAGAAATGGAGTATAACTCCACACGTATAAATATAGCACAACAGCTGTAGTGGGACCAACTGTGTTACCCTACTACACTAAGGTACTCTGTATCATTACTGTAGGTCCATAAGTACCTGCAAAAGCCATGCAGACATGGTCATCAAGGGCACAAATTTTCCTCACAGTTCTTTCATCTTGAAGCTTGGCAACAGACTTTTTCTCGACCCCAAGCACAACTATATTAGCACCTCGAATTCCAACCTGTCAAGTCATTAAAAAAACATAATTAACTGTCAGTTTTAACATTAAAATCAAATTATTCTAACACATGACTTATAAGAAAAGGCTTTTCCTTAAACATTCAAAAAATGAGAAAAGTAGCCTTCTAGAAAACAGATGCATAGGTACAGGCTTACTGGAAGTCCATTCCCCAAACTCAAAGCAAAGAAGACAAATAGATGGAAACTGGAAGAATATACCACCAATGCTGAAACTACATGAGTGTCCTGATCTCAGACAATACACTGAAAGAAGTGCTATCTAAATATAGAACAATTTTAACCAAAATGAAAGAAGATGCTGGGAATCCATGGGATTCCTTATTAGAACAGGCAGTACCAGTACTGGTGGTAGTAGAAGTAGTATAGAAAGTTAAGTAGATACAATTCTGAAAGCTTTCCCATGTATCTCACAATTTGGATGGATAAGGATTGGTGGCCATAAGCAGCCAAGAGAAAGACCAGATGCCCTCACCTTAGAACACTGATAAACCAAAGCCTCAATTCAAACACGAATACAAGAAGAATCACTATTGCTCCTCCCTCTATCTCTTCCCTTGGGAAGGAAGTGGGAAAAAGTCTAAAGAATAATGTACAAGGGTAGTCATTCTCAAACAGGGACTTCTGGGGAAACGTGGCCATATTCTCAGGGGTTCAAGAGTAATCTATGAGAATTTTAATTCTGTATTACAATGGTAATCTACATATTTTGATATAGATATTTGTTTATGATTGCCTTGTGGCCAAGTGTGATGATATCAGTACTGTTTTATACAATGTAACTACGCAAAAATGTGTGCTCTGAGTTAGTATTATTGAAGTAAAAATACACAACATGTTAAATATAGAACTAGACCTGAGATTACATCTTTCAATTAAATAAAACAATTTATCAAGGCTTTTACTCTTGTTGATCCCTCCTTTCATTCAAGTCTGTCAGTTTATCTGATAGGCCTTCCTTAACCATCCTATCTAAAATCAGCAACCCTCCTTCCATATCCCATCCTCATTTTTTGGGGGGAAGATTAGCCCTGAGCTAACATCTGTTGCCAATCCTCCTCTCTTCTGCTAAGGAAGATTGGCCCTGGGCTAACATCCGTGCCCATCTTCCTCTACTTTATATGGGATTCCACTACAGCATGGCTTTGATAAATGGTGCATAGGTCCACACCCGGGATCTGAACCGGTGAACCCTAGGGCACCAAAGTGGAGCGCGTAAATTTAACTGCTACACCACCAGACCGGTCCCCTACCCTCATTTAATAGACACATGTTGAACTTTATATCCTATAGGGAATATGCATTCTTATCAAGCCATGGGACATTATAACAATTTAACATATATTAGGATTCAAAGAAAATCTTAATATTTTCCCCAAATTGAAATAAATCAAATTAATTGATTGCAAGACAACACAATAATTTTTATAACTCTCACCTAAATTATTTTTGACTTAATAAAGAAATTAAAACTGCCAACACACTATCTAGAAAATATTTACAATGAAAATCCTAATGTCAATGTCTTTTGGATGTGGACAAAATTATGCTCAGAAGAAAATTCATAATCTCACTTTATAAATTCAAAAAATTAAGAAGTTCAAAAAGGAAAAAAATATTTACGCTAAGCTTAAGGGGAGAAATAAGGAAAAAGCAGAAATTAATGATTAGGGAGAAAACAACTAAATTGATAAATAATACCAAAAGATAGTTTTTTTAAGAAATAATTAAAAGATATGTCATTTAATCTAGCCAAGGAGAAAGAATAAAATATATATATGAGTGTAAAAAAGTAGGAATCTAAAAATTATAACCCTAAGTTAATAAATTTGAAAACCTCACTGAAAAGAATGAAGACCAGAAAAACAAAAAACTGCTTGTACTGACTCAAGAGAAGATAGAAAACTCAGTCTCACTAACAAACATGGGATAATTTCAGAAAAGAACTATCCCTCAAAAACAGGTGTCAGGCCTAGAAGGTTCATGGATGAATTCTTTCTAATCTTCTGTTATGGGTAATTCCTATGCTATTTAAATTATTCTGTGGTACAGATCAAAATGGAAATGTTCCTAACTCTATTTAGGAAAGCTATGTAACAATGTTAAAATCTGGCAAATATAACACTTTCTAAATAAAGAAAAGTACCAATGATTTTCACTTAGGAAAGCTGATGCCAAAAGTTCAAAACAAGATATCCACAAATAGAATCTAGAGTACAGAAAAATAATAATACACCATAAACAAATATGGTTCATTTCAGGAATTTTAGGAACATCAACAAAAGTAAATCTTTTAGAGCCAGCCCTGATGCCTAGTAGTTCAAGTTCAGTGTTCACCGCTTTGGCGGCCCGGGTTTGTTTCCTTGTTCTGGAACCACACCACCCGTCTGTCAGTTGACATGCTGTGGCGGCAGCTCACACAGAATTAGAACGACTTATGACTAGATATACAACCACACATTGGGGCTTTGGGGAGGGAAAAAAAAAGAGGAAGATTGGCAACAGATTTTAACTCAGGGTGAATCTTTCCCTGCAAAAAAATAAATAAATAAATCTTTTAATATAAATGTTACAGTGGATAGTGGAGATCTGTTATTTTTGCCCTTCAGGTAACAACAGCACTTCAATTGTTCTTGGAGAAATAATGAGTCTTTAGTGGGGCTGTAACATGACCTAGCCTAGCCAAACAGTAATTCCACAAAGTTTTACTGGAAGTGTTTGGAAGACAGGATAATTCTTTCTGCTGTACCTAGAGTTGGGAGCCTGGAGCCTGGGGCTGTTTAGGAGCTACCACTTAGGGAGGTCTTGTCTGAGAGTGAAAGTAATATGGAGAGGAAGCAAGAGATGGAGAGGGGCGATGAGGCAGAAAGAGAGACAAGAGACACACACCAGTTCTGCTGACATCATTTAAGACCCTAGAAGCCATACAGTTAAGCATAGAAGCAAGGTTTATCCCTGCTCCTTTTAGGTCCTTGATTCAATAGATACACTTTTTTGTTAAAATTAGGTTGATTTGGATTTCTGATACTTACAACTGAAATAGTCCTAACTAAAACAATTAAATAGTAAAAATAAAAAGTAAATGATAAAAGCTACAAAGACATTTGATAAAAATTAACATCCACACCTAATTTAAAAGCAACACTAGAAAAGCAGGAAGAAGACTATTTGTGTAGACTATTTTATAACTTGTTAAAAGTATCACAAACCAGCAGCCAGGATTATTTCAGAAAATGAATTACCATCCACTTAACTGTTCAAGCCAAAAACCTGGTTGTCATACTTTATTGCTCGCTCTCCCACACCATCTATTTCTAAGCAATTACCAAGTTTCTGTCCATTTTACCTGCAAAAGCCATCCATTTTTTCCTAGCACCACTCTAATACAAGCAACCATCATTTCTTGCCTGGACTGTGTACTACTGCATAGCCTAATAAGTTTTCCAGTTTCTACTCTTGCTCCCCACCTCTCCACATCCCCTTTTCCCCTACCCCACTCCCATCTAGTCTCCACAAAGCAGCCAGGGTGAGCATTTAAAAACATGAATAGGATCAGATTACTCTCCAGTTGAATATCCTTCCACAGCATTCCACTGCACTTAGAAAATATTTTCAAACTTCTTAGTCTTACCTTTAAAGCTGGGCATGATCTGGCCCCTGCCTACTTCTCTAATAGTATGTCATTGTTGTTTACTAAGCACCAACCACACTATCTTCTTTGAATACTTTCTCAAACACAATTCTGCTTCCCTCCTCTAAGCATTCACACATGATACTCTCTCTACCTGGAATGCTTCTCCTCTTATTTAGGTCTCAAATTTCACCTCAAGGAGTCCTGTTCTGTTATTCATTCTCTAAACATTCATTCTCTAAACATTCTCTGTTCTATTCTTGCGATCAACACATGTACAATTACTTATGTATTAATTATAGTTATCTCTCCCAATAGTAAATTCTATGAGGGCATGGAAACAATCAAACAAATCTAGAAAGTGGGACACTCTACCCAACGGTCCTTTCAAGAAGTCCAAGGCATGCAAAAAAAAAAAAAACTTGAGTTTAGATTCAAACTCAAACAAAACAATAAAAAGATATTTTGTGAGCAATAAAGAAAATTAGAATGTAGACTGTTACAAAATATTAAAGAGTTTTTTAAAAATTTCATTGGGAGTGATAATGGTTTTAACAAACATCCTTATTTTTTAGAGATGCTTACAGTAGTCCCCCCTTATCCACAGGGGATACATTCCAAGAGCCCCAGTGGATGCCTGAAACTGCAGATAGTAGCAAACTCTATATATACTATGTTTTTTCCCATATATACATACCTATGATAAAGTTTAATTTATAAATTAGGCACAGTAAGAGATTAACAACAATAATAATAAAAAAGAACAATTATAACGATATACTATAATAAAAGTTACCATAGCTGTTAGCAACCTCAGCATGATTTTCTTTCCTTCCTAATTAAGTTGAGAACTTTTACCTTTTCACTTCAAGGAAGCATTTTATGGCTTCTCTTTGGCATATCTGAATTGCCAGCATCACTGCTCTTCACCTTTGGGGCCAATATTAAGTAAAATAAAGGTTACTGGAACAAAGCACTGTGACACCGCAACAGTCAATCTGATAACTGAGACGCTACTAAATGACTGATAGGCGGTCAGCATATACAGTGTGGATCACTAGACAAAGGGATGATTCATGTGCTGGGCAGGACTGGGTAGGACGGAGCAGGACGGCACAGGACAGCACAAGATTTCCTCATGCTACTCAGGACAGCTAGCAACTTAAAACGTATGCATTGTTTATTTCTGGAATTTTCCATTTAATATTTTCAGACCGAAGTTGATTGCAGGTAACTGAAACTGCGGAAAGTGAAACCACGGATAAGGGGACTACTGTACTGAAATATTCACAGGTGAAATATGATATCTGGGATTTATTTTAAAATACTCCATTGAAAAATGAATTTCAACC